TTTAGGCAATAACTTGATGAATTGGCAAGAAATGTACAAAACATGCCTATGTAACATTTAAAGAGATATCTATGGATAATTTTTATTTAATTCCAGTAGTTTGTACATATTTATCGTACACCTGGAATTTGGTTGACACCTGTTATTTCTGAGGATGCCAGGCCAAGAGAGGCGGATATCTAAAATTCACAGATGGTCGTAATAAGAGTTGTGCGAACTACATTAGCGCGCATCCCAAAACCCTGGTTGTGAAATCAACAACAAATATATTTTTATCGCCAATCAGATGCATAAAAAAGGACTAATACCATCACGTAGTTTACAGTTCTGATTATTTGAACAGTAAGTCTGTTAGATAAAAGGATTCTACTTGGACGGGAGGACATGGATGCTCCATGAAAATCCATATGTATGACCACGACGGGTTTACTGGAGTGTAGGTGTATCCATTCAAGTCTGAGGCATTTGGTAGTGGATACGCTATTCAAGGTGCCGTAGCTGGTATTTCCGCAAATTTGCAAAGCGGAACCATCCTTACTGTGGTAGCTAGGCAAATCACGAAAGTCTGAATTAGCTAAATGAGACCATTTACTTCTAATAAGGCTTATCAATAGGATGCTGTTGGATTCCGGCCAACGTGCGACCTGGGTTTAAAAATATCGAAAACGAAGACACCGAAAATTCTTAAGCGAGTTCCCCGACGAAAGCACCAAACATAAGCTACCTAGCGGAGAGAACCAATTTTGCACAACAAAATTATTGGCTGTCAATTTGTCGAAATATGGGTAGGTTGGGCGCGTTTCATCATGATCATCAAAGACAGCAACATCAGTGTTGGTACTGATGCTTCACTGCCGTATGGTTGTACGAGGGCTGGGATACTGTCAGGGCGCCCACACCTAGACAGAAGGACGATTAGTGTCCTCAACCAAAGCCTTTGGCTCAAAAGCCTAACCGCAAGGTAGCGGTGTTTGGCGGGAAATGCAAATGCGTTGCCATTTCTACGGAACAAGTCGCCACATGTTCCAACCCCCAACCTGGAGGGCCAGGAGACTGTGTTCGTCAGACCTCTAACCATTGACCAACCTGGTATGAGAGACTCTGTGAGTGTCGCGGGACACTCTCCAGTATAGCTCAATGGATCGCTGAGGTGCGCAAACCGTCACACCACGGTAAGGTCCAGTCTCTTCGTGACGGGCTACTATGTAAGAGGCTAAGCTACACGACCCAATGAGAAACTGGCAGCTGAACATCGTGTACCCTCACTGATTCCAGCGGCAAGGATCGCCCGAGTATGCCACGCTGCAAAGCGACTGAAATCACAGTAAGCACATAGTAAAATCGAGCTTAAGCCAATCTAAATCGGAAGTCGAACTGGAGTCGAGTGCAGAGCTATGCAATGGTCAATTAGTTCCAAATTAGTAAAATAAGCGGACCCTAGCATGACTCACGACGTAATACCACTCAAATGTACAAACAAACAACTCTACCTTCAAACTAATTGCCCGAAAGTTGGTCCACGGGCGTAAATGAATCAATCAATCACTCAATCCGCCAATTGGAATGGTAGCGCTCAGATCACGTCATATACGGAAGCTCATGCCATAAAAGAGGTACACAATTGATTCAGGTGTTTGAAAGCACCACACCTGATAGGAGCTTATGGGTGGTGACAAGTTGCACCGTATCTCGTAATGCGTAACAATATCAAGGGCATTAGCGAAATACATTCATTTGGAAAGCGATTTGGTCTTGGCGTAGACTCCCCTGGGATCCGCTGGATTTCTCGTTTACGTTTTTAAGCGACTGAGATGCAGGTGGGTTCCAGGTGAGTCTACCGCAAAACCAAATTGGTTTGCAAATGAGTGTATTTCGCTATTTTCGTGCAATTCGGGTTTAAGTAGAACATAAGGTTGACGGGAACTCGGGGACTGTGCCAACCTGATGAGCCCCAAAAAGGGCGATATCTGTCGTGGGCTGTCGAAGGATGTTCAGCAACCTTATGAGTAGTACACCGAATCCAAGCAAATATCAAGGGCACTTGTGATAAGTGTCAAACCAGGGGACAGTGGATACAAGTATCCCAAACGTCAAAACGGCGACAGAAATAAGACAGGCAGCAATAATCTTGATAATTGAAACTAGCGAGATATAAGGCATGAATGCAATAGGTCCGTCCGGCCGGTTTTTTGTTGTTCCTTTAAAAACTTATGATAATGATCACTGACAAAGATACGTAAATGGTTCCTGTGGAATAGCCCGGCTGACGAAAACTGTAGGGTACAGTTCGCTGACGGCACGCTTGAGCAAACAAGGGACTGGAGAAAGCAAAAACGAGTGTTTCATTATGTCGATCGAAAATGGACGGTAAAAAACACCTACCTGTTGTAATAAATCCATATCTTGCAGGTAGAATGCCGTGTAGAATAGGGAGAAAAAGCAATTCATGAACTGAAGCTGCAAACAAACAGAGTGAGAAAAGTTATCAGCACACTGTGCAATAGGCACACAACTGCGTCAAATAACTTGAAGGCAGAAACAAACAAGCAAATTCTCACAATGCACCGGGTCATCTGCTGGTGTGTTTGGCCCACCGGCAGCCTAAGTTTGAAGTAACGATAAAATATGCGACCGGAGTGAAATGTGAGCAACGTCGGAGACCAGAGAGGTAAAAAAAAGCGTACCAGTAGTAGCTTGGCGACCAGGTGGTTGTGGTATTCCGCATCCAGTCTATGATTTTCAAGCTCAGTCAGCCAGGCAGCCAAGCTCCTGTATGCTACGTCCATTGTCATGATGATGATCGCAAGCAAGACCTAGAAAAGGAGGAACCAGGATCAAAACGATATGATGAGAAGCTCAAGATGCATGCTGAACATCCGGTACAATAATATACTCCATAACAGGAACTAGCTTTGAAATAGATACAACTATGACAAAATCGCTCAGATCAAGAGTACCCAGTGGCAACAGAAGAACACCAGTTCTAAAGGACTGTGAAGAGGAAGGTGCCTGCGTAAATCCACAAAAGTATCCCAACGGTCCTTTTCAATTTAATGTGCTTTTGTGGAAAACATTTGTAGGCGTCAGACCATTGACTTAAGATACCACTGAACTCGGACAACTGATCGCGTCAGTATCTCATTTATTCACCTGCGATTTCCTCGGACTAGCTATAGGGCGCCGGAAACATAGTTGATCGCTAAACTTGGCATCTATGCAATACGGACCATATCAGTCATAAAAAAGGTCACCGTGGGACATGTGATGATGTTTACGCAATTAGCTCGATCACGCCATGCTTTTCGGCCTTGTGCTTTTTTAATCCTGGCTTATGGCCTGAAATTTGTGTGCAAAAAATGATAGGACTGTGGGACGGTGCATATTCATTGTACTGTAACACTGTCAAGCGAACTACTGACGGATAGCAGATGATCCTAGTAATCACCATCCACCAACAAGTAACGAATTGAGGAGCATAGGACTATGATAAAGTCATTGCCACAGTTGATTTCACCTTGGGGGTGTGCAAAATGAGGATGCCAAACTTCCCGGCGTCAGCATGCGCTGCCCAAGCGTCGGTTTGTTCCTGCAGGAGCACGAAACCAAGCGTGATGAAGATGACGAACGATAAAGAGATGATGATGATAGGAGCGGTGACGAAGAAGATAGTGAGACATCGACGCCACGCAGGATAGGTGCGGACCATTCGACCAGTGATTGAACATTTGGTTAACTCACCCTATTGTATTAAATAGATGGAGAGGAAAAATATATGGGAGGCACCGAAGTGAATAATGAGTTATAGAAGATTTTGGGCTTTCTTATAAACAGCATTCTCTTGAGAACGTAACTATCCTAATGGAGACAACGTGGTCCAAGGAGATAGAGAACTGAAATGAAATCAACCTCAGGGATGTTGAAAAAGTTTTTTTCTTTTCTGCACGTGAGACGAAATCGTTGAAGTCTCATGAAGAGGGGCCAAGGCTCACGCTCTCAGAATTACTCAGCTTTTGAAAAAAGAAGCACTTATGGTGTTTTTGCAACAGGACGGTTGATGAATTTCAGAGGTAACTTCATCTAAGCAATCCACTAGAGTGGATCTATGCTCTTGTTTCTATAGGTTTAGAATCTTGGTTAAGCCAGCTTCCCAAGACAACCAATACATCAGCAATCAGGCTGCAGCGTCCGACAACCCTTTTCGCCCTTTTACGTTGATGGACACAAGTCCACGACAATAAGGCCACGAATTGGACATTTTCATCAGATGCTAAGTGGTAGCAAATCGCAAATCACTTTTACAAAGCACCTTGCCCCGACCTGCTGAGATGTAATGAGGTGAATGTGTGGGAGGTCATCATAAATGCCTTTAAAGCTTAAAAAGTAAACATTAAGTTTTCCGGTGTACCGGGGGGACGGGACAGACAAACAAGCAAACTAACAAAAAGGCCCCGGAAGTGCATAGGGCGGAAAAGATAGCCAGTGTCACCAGTGCCGTGTAAACAGTGATACCTGAAAAGAACTATGGGTGCCAAAACAATCCGTTGACAACACAACAACCAGTCAGTGCTGCAAGCGTTTGCGAATATCAACGCGTGCGAAAGCCTGGCTAACAAACGGTGCACAAAAAGATACCAACCAGACTTTGCGGGTGAATTACGAAGGAAAGTTGAAGCATGCATGCACGATGTTGATAGTGCACCGAAATTCAACTAATGATGAAAACTAACGCGAGTCAACCATAGCGTGCCCAGTGAGACGCGTGAAAACATGGCTCATTCATTCAATCAGCTGCTGCCAATGTATGGAGAAGTTACACACTTGAAGTGAATTCCGGTAGCCTAGTCTTAGCAATAAAGTATGTTGTGTGGACCAATGTGGAGAATTTTTACTTCTGGTGTTATACTATATTTGCATGTCACTGGGTACTGGCGCGTCATAAAAAATGCGCAAAATCGATATCACATTAAAAATTGGCCACACAAAATAACGGGAATACTGAAAGATGGAATGGATATCAAATATGGTCTCTCCGATGAGTGAACATAACATCAGAGACACCGCTATTTCAAGAACCATTTCGGCCTAATAGGTGACGGCATATTTCAACTGGTGGAAGTATCACCACGTATAAGACCAACAAACTGGAAGACGTTTCAGAAATATAAACTTTTGAGCACTCGCAAAAATAAGGACTTTGGGTAGCTTTTCGTAGCGGACCCAAAGATGAACGTATCAAGATGGCGTGAAACGCCATTGCTAAGTCACGCGTTTCTCTTGCCACGCACGACACATCAGAACATTGAAGAACAAGCAGTAAATGATAGAAAATAGTAATCTGCAAACGAGACTCAAGCACAACAGCCGTACGGTGTGCATGCTTTAACAACTGGCGGCTAAATTTTGAAACCCTAGAGACCTCATTTGAATTGTGAAAGCGTCTCACCTACTAGCAGATAAGCGATTTTCGGTCATAAATGCAACAAAATATAGGAAATCGGTGTCAGGTGTATACAACTGAAAAAGAAAGGGCTGTATTCATTTTTATACTGTCGTCATCTCAAAAATCTTGAAATACTAGTAAATCACAACTCGGAAGAGCGATGCAAATAGGTGTGGAGCAAAGTAACCCACAAGGTCACTGCCATAAAACTCGGTGTCCAACTCTCACAACATCACAAACTGACAAGGGTGGATAATGTGAAACAAATGAGCACAAAACACTCCAATGCAATTAAAGAAGGATAGCTTCAGAATTGGTTACGGCCGGAAACTCCGACTTCCTATTAGATTTAGTATGACCCGGCAAATGAAGGTAAATGCATCAATGATATCGTGTGCGAAGTATAAGCAAACGCCCGGTTATGGGTGAAGTACAGTCAGGCTAGAAACCAATGGATGAAATCTACGGCAGGGATGAAGAAGACAAGAGCGAAGGACCGTAGCGTAACGGAGAGGAACCAGCGAACAACCTACCCGAAAAGCCGCCCGTGGCTCCTCAAGAAGTGACGGCGGTGCGTCCCATACACCCCATTGATAAGTTAGCAACGAGCTTGTCCTTTTCCAGTGCTCCAAGTAGACAGTAGACCAAAGGAGACAGAGCATAGCCATAACCAGATCGTAGAATTTGTACTTCTATGGGGATACGAAGAAGAACGGGTTAGTTAAGCAAACAGATTATTGGCTGGAACACCATTTTTGTCATACCTACCGACGGAACGGAATGATTGCAAATCTTACTTTCTAACTTGATGACGTCTTCATGAATGACTTATGAACACTCCATTCGCAAGACCCTCTTCTCAATGCATTTGGCCACTGAATTTGGGTGCTGTTTCCAAAAATTTTCTGGCACAGAAAACTGGCAGGTTTACAATCACCCGAGCCGAGTTCTCTCCCTTGTAAGCAACTAACGACTGACACTTCGGTTTTGACGTTACAACCATTTTTATCGTTACTGAAAGATTTTCCCCGCCTCTCTTGAAGCGTCCGCGGTGTCAAGTGGGAAATGAATATAGCTAGGCCGACTGGAAATGAGAGCCGTTTTTGGCAGCGATTGCGAGTTATGGCCTGAAACAGAAACAAGTCCAGGGTGAACGTTGACACTGAGAAACTAAACGTGGGCTATTTCTCCTCATGTCAACATCTTCCCGTCCCCATTTTCGTTCACCCCACCAGCTTTTTCCCACTCAGACGGGCATCTTGTTGACTTTTGTGCTAGCAAACCAGGCGATTCCAGGATGTCAACCATCGACCGAAATAATAATGATAATAGTAATCGTTCAGGAGTAACACCTTCCCGGTGCCTAGCTGCTATGCCACCCGAAGGAAGTCAGAGGGTTGAGATACTGCCAAGTTGCCAGGGCAGCCGAGATGCAGATTGGGTTCGAAACACGAACCTGCTAGTCAGTAAATTCGCGCTCTGATAAGTGAGCCAACTCGCACCATCCTCGACCTATTGAAAGGATTTGTTCACCTCCTCAGAAAAGATACTGATTGTGCATAAATCCACTGTTGATTTGACTAGGGTCCGATCGGCAGAAAACATTGCGATTCACTGCAACCAAGTGTTGACATAGAAGTCGTAGAATGAATATTTGTCGGCCTTATCTTACGAGCTAAATGACCATTTCGAATTAAACCGAAAACCCCTCAACAGGTCTTAAGTGACGATTACATTATACGTTGCATTTGTAAACTGATGCTTTTGACAGCTAGGTAAGCACATTAATGCGTTCCAAGGAGGATCCCATCGCCGGTTTTGATTACTCCTGTATTCCAATAATAAACAGACAGAATAGTATAAATATGCGCAGAATTTATTTTCCACTGAAGAAAATCGGTCTAGTATTAGGCTGTTTGCAAAGGCAGGCTTAAATGCGTCTTGTGACGAGGGGAAGTCTCCATAACACCGCTAGCACCACGTGTAGCATGCTATCATCAGGCATCATAACACACTATAGTCAAGACCAGGAAATTACCCAGTAAACACTAGAAGCGCACCGTTCAGCATAAAAAGCACAGGCTATCAACCCTGGCATACAGCTTCGCAGGGACGATAGAAACGATATCTGATTGTAAAGACGCTTCAATCGCTCCACTGAGGGCCGAATTCAAACTGACCAGGCCAGGCAAATCGTTACCTGGAAACATCACAAATGAGAGATTCAGCTGGATTCCAGGTGAGTCTCTCGAAAAACCAAATTAATTTGCAAACGAGTGTATTTCGCTAATTTGGTGAAATCTGGTTTCAAGTAGAACACAGGGTTGATGGAAACCCGGGGACTGCCCCTACCTGATGAGCCCCAAGAAGGGCGAAACCGGTCGTGGGCTGTCGACAAATTTTCAGCAACCTTATGAGTAGTGCATTACAAATCGTTTCTAGTTTACAGCTTTTGATCATATAAAATCGGGTTCAGCATGCGTTTCAGTCGACTGTGTCAACCCAAGTTATTGTGCACCTTCTCGCGCCTCCCAATTGCAATTTTCCACGGCCAAGGCTACCTCAATCCGAAGTGACAAGCTGCCTGAACAACAGTCAGCTTCAACTGGGCAGGATAAGTGGGGTTTCCCCTATTATAAGCTGAAAATGACCGCTATCGTTACAGAGAGCTGAAAGCAAAAAGAGACAAACAAATAAACCAAAAAGCGTAGACAGACGGATCCGGAAAAAAACTTACTTTGCAATCAACGAAAAGCCACACTGACAGTCCGACAACCGAAGGAAACAAAAGGGCAAAGGTGTAGTGGCCAAGCCAAGCGAAATACAGCGCAACCTGAACACCAAAGTAACGTCGAATATCATCCAACGGTTGACGGAGAGTCCATCCATGAAGCCAATCTTTGGTCAGTTGTTTCAGTTCCGCAGACTGATGCACAGGGAAGATGTGACTAAGCAAGCCAATTGATTGAAGTGGACGAACTAAAAGGGGGTCAGAAAAATGAATAATTTGGCCAGATAACACAACTACAAGTGGTAGGGGTTGGCGACTTTTGCTAACACTTTCCTGAGGCGAGAGTTGTTGACAGACAACTTTTCTGACAGTTGTCTGAAAGGTGTCTGTCAATTCAGTGCAAACGCACACTATCTAACGGCCTTTGAGGTCAAATTAGTAGCTGAATTTTTGTATCAATGGGTCGAATAACAGTCCTAAAACACAATGGAATTCGAAGAAACTGTGTCGATGTCTCCAACTATCGAGGTGTTTCGCTCGATATTTACACAAGGCCATCCGATAGAAAGAAGATCAACCGTTATCTGGCACACTGCGAGTAAGAATTAGGTAAACAACAATGGTCAGCCAGAGTTCAAATTTCGGATTTAACCGCCATCCCGTGATTTCCCGACATTCAGCTACGCGAACGTTTTCTTCTTACGTAGCGGCGCACGAAATGTTAGTACTGAAAGAGAGCTCCCTAGTGTGGGGACAGTGCCCAAAAATTACTTTTAACCAAGGATATATTTCGAAGTACCGCAATTTTCGGCTTAATTAAAGGGTTGCACTTCAACTCACCACCCAGCAGAGTGGTAAGAGGTCGGTTACATACAACACGCTCTTCCGAATAATCGAGGACCACCCTTAAGAGCTTCGAAGTTTTAGTTTGTGTTTTAATTAGCACAACGTTATATGCCAAAGAACTAACCTACTAGCTGGACTACCTTACAGCTTTTTCATTTAACAGTTACCTCAGCTACAGACTTCCCCCCTGAAGGGACCATTTAGTTCCAGTTCAGTGAATTTTACCACTGATGGACGAAATGCTAGACCCCACGAAAGGGACCAGGAGATTTTGATATCTCTGAACCCACTACTCCCCAAGACGAACGGCTTTCTTTCGGGATTCGGAAAATATCAAAGGTATTTGGTGTGGCAATGGGCTGCTGCTCACATTTGGTGGGCCAGAATGTTCGAAATCCAATCTGTTGAGTAGTCCTAACCAACGAGTGTGACAGTTGAGCCTACTGCACAAAGGTAGTTTCTATGCTTGTGTGTAATGGCGTACCACAATACCCACTGAAGAGCGCAAGATTAACAGGGGTCTTTCCAGTCGCATAGAAGTACTATGAGCTCAACCACTTGAGACCAGTTCAGTCTCACGGCTAGTAATCAATCCAAATAGCTCACTTCCTTGGGAGACCAGATCATTAGAAGTAAGATGTTCCTGTTCCCCAAAGGTAAGATGAAGATCCTTCGGTTCAGTCGAAGGGACTTCACGGGACATAAATAAGACAACGTTAAGATGTTGACGATTATCAATGAGTATTACAGTGTCGTCGAAAATGAGTGAAACCCACCTGCTGTTTCCTTTTTTGAGATTTTGTCATTTTTTGAGATCATGTGCGCAGTATTCCGCGCACTCCTAAAACTGGTCAACGCAGGGTGGAAAATTAAGCCCCCGAATATCACGCCAATCTGATCTCTTTCTATAAATATTCAACGCAGGTAAGCTGTGAATAACCAAGCTCCATCACCAAATAACAAGTGCTTTTTAGAACCAGTTATCAAGTGGACCTGTCAGATTAAACTGAAAATGAACTTTCCTGATGATGCAAACTTGAAGAACGCGAGGTCGACAATCTTAGCTAAGTTCAGTCGGTTTCAGACACTGATAATATATTTCACTGATATCCATGGTGACGAGACAGAGGTTAGTTTTCCCATTGTTTGGCTGCTTTTGATTAGGGGTGGAACAACTGACCAACAGGCCCACAGTGGTCTAGCTACAGGTACTACTCCGTCGTAAGTAATGTTATTTGCGTGACAGTAAGCCCAAAGAGGACCGACCCAACAGAAGAGAGATGGGTGAAAAGGATGATAAGAAGAAGGAAACCCATTTGAGGGTGACGGGGAAATTCACCAAGTTCCTGCGTCACTTAATAATTCTGCGAACACATCTAACATTAAGAACCCTAGTAGCATCCCATGTTTACTAAAAGTTGTGAAAGTCACACTTCAAACGGAGTCAAATAGGCGGAATTCATGCAATACAGTAGTTTTTCTGTAAACTTATAGTTAAATTAAGGTTCACTCTATTGCCGTAAGAAAATTAAGGGTTCGGTCGGTTCCCCCGAATGAGACCTCCCTTCAGAAGGGACTAACTCCGAACAGTTTTCGGGAGTGCATTCCAATCAGGAAACCACAGTGTGGTGATACTTATACCCAACTTCAATTGACGATATTTGGTCCCGTATCCTCAGCGTATGGGGTGATACGAAACTGGCACCTAGTGGTAATACGAAATTGCGATCACGTCTTTTGTGTACGATTAGTTAGCTTGATTAAAATGACTGAATGGATCAGTGCGATTGATCGTCACGTGATTGTCAAGTCGTGAGTGCTAATTGGCACGTGTAAATTACGTCTGTGCGTGTGCGTAACATAACAGAACGAAGATGACAGACCCAACACGCGACAGGAGCAATAAAGTAACTGGAAAAAGGACAATCACAAAACCAAGACAATGAAAGAGAGGAGGAAAGAGGAAAAAGGTAGAATGACAGGGTTTTTAATTTATAACGTGAATATTTCCGTGTACTGGTCCATCTAGCATTTGTTCGTCCGCAAACAGGCTGTGTCCTTAGGAGGTCACAATACGGCGAAAGTGACCACCAAGTGAGAGAACACAAGGCGTGCCGACACTTATTTTGTTTCAGGTTGAGATTTCAAAGTCACAGATGGGAAGTAAAAGCCAAAGTAGGCAGAGTCTGACGAACCAACGAACGACACGTGATCAGAGCTGAAGGTCCTTCGGTTACGTATAAGATTAAACGCGCGGGTAATCGGTTACTTTCATGAACAGCTCATCGATTCTCCACACTGTTTCAGCTTTGTGAATGAAGAGCACCTATAACTAACGATGCAATACTTAGCTCAGCAACTTAACTGCATGGATAACATTTTCAATAGTTTCACCGCTCTAGTCCGACACATTGCCCATCGTGAAGTTAGATATCAGCTAAAAGGGTGTTCACGTGCCTTGCTGCTCCGCTATACACAAGCTGGTACACTCCACGATCGACGTTCGAGCTGGATCGCTTGTTGCAAACGGGTGTACAGCTAGACAGTGTTAAATTTCTTCCGACGAGAGATTCTGGAATTGTGACAAGAACCAACACCAACAGATTGAAAACAGTAAGAGAAACACTCACTTAGCGGTTGTCCATCGCGAAACACCATATCATCCAGAACGTCTCCCTCGCGAGCGCATAATCCCATCAAATAATTATGCACAATCCAGCAACGTTCTCCACTGGATAAGAAGTTGAGCTCATCGGACGCATTATCGAACAAATCCAGTTCATCCATGGAAAACTCCCTCAGTCCCCCGCCATGCTCTGGTGCCAAAGGCTTCTTGATCCCCAACTCTTCGGCACCCAAGAGTAAACTAGATAAAAGCAACCGAAAGAATTAAATTTCATGAGGCCAGCGCGCCACATACACGTCACTGAAAACAGATTATGCAGACAATTTCAGCACGTAAAAAAGGAAATTCAGTTGGATGGTACTGAACCTTGATAGTATATTGAATCGTTGAAACTAAAGTTTCGAAACTGGATGTTGGGAAAGGCGTAGTCTTCATGGTCACAAGCCCATTGGTTTTAATGTGGCTAATCCCAATTTTGTTCAAGGTTCAATCTCATAAGTGCTTGAGGCCACACGATGAGCTGAACACATGCTTCGTCCAAATTTTCTTCGGAACAAGGCAGTATGAGGGTCATTCAACTGGCATTCGAACGCCGGTATAGGGTAGCAGACCATATACAATAGCCAACTGGCTCGTGTAAGTATGAAAAGTTGCGAATCCCCCGATAGGGGGCGGCTTGAGGTCAGCTATAGGTGACCAACAATGCAATGTCCAATGACGCGAAGAGACCAACAACCAACCATCATCATCATCATCATTATTATTGTCAGCTGTATTGACCGCGTACTTGTCGTACAGTGGTAGCTGCCAACAATCAATGTTGTCAACGGCCCAATAAGAGTCAGGCACCATCGCATACGAACTATTGTAACGCAGCTAAACCTCTGACCATCCTGAATGATGCCTCAAACATAGAAGAATGAATAAAAAACGTTGAATTTGCTATTGGGTGAAACGCTAGTAACGCCAGCGCATACCTTGCGCGACAACTGTACAAGATATAACTATCAGGTGATAGTTGGTGAAAGCTAACAGGCTGCATCATCATCATCATCAACGACAGCATGACATCAGTGCTCAACACCAATGCTTCACTGCCGTACAGCCATGACTTATTTGAAAGCCTTATTGTAAA